AGAAAAACCAACGAGAGGGAAAAGAAGAAACATTTTAAATACATGCCTAAAATAAATATATATATATATATATATATATATATATATATATAAAGAAAACAACACAACGAAAGAAAAATAATATAGGTTTGTACGGATATAGATAAATATATGTACATATACTGATATGTATTTTGGGTCATGCTAATATATATAAATATATATATATATATATATATATATTTATTTACTCTTTGCATTTATGAAAGATGAAAAAAAGTGGCTGACAAATCCTGAATTATTATCATATTTCTTCTCAGTTTTTTTTTTTTTTTCTTTTCATCGTTCATTTAATACCTTGCATGTTCCTTTGTTGTGGTCGTTTTTTTTTATTTTTTATTTTGGCATATATGTGTATATTTGTAATGTAATGTATATATCAAAAGTTTCTTTTTTCCTTTTCTTTTTGTATTCCTTTCTTCTTCTTCTGCTCATTCATTTCCTTTCCAGTATTAGACGCTTTCCTTTTTCCTTATTATATGCATATATCCACAGAGGAATTTATACTCATACTTTGGAGTCTCTCTTGTCTGTTGAGTGCTGTCCTTCACAGTCTCCAGATTCCCCAGCGGCGGAAAGATCACGCAGCGTCGACGCGATGTGATCCAACACGGTGTTCAACTCCTCCTGTACACAGTGCAGCTCTTCACTCCGCTGTCGTCCCTCTTGATCACTTAGCGGTAAGGCCGTGAGGGACTGCAGTTTCTTCGTCAATCGTGCCTGTCGCTCACGCAGAATCTGCAGTTTCCGTGCCGCGGCATCACGCTGTGGAGTACTCGCCTTCTTATCGAAACCATCCCCAGAGAATGCCCGTGCCCCGGCGCTCTTCGCCCGCGAGGTCCCCCGCCGCCCACGTGAATGTGAAGATCGTCTGCGTGAACGCCTGCGTGGGGGATGCGGCTGCAGCTTCCCACTATGATCGTGTGTTTGTTGGATTTGCCGTCGAAGCGGCTCAGGCGTGGCGGCGTAGGGCGACAACTTCACAATGCGTGCGAGAAACTCACGGCGGATCTCTTCCACCGCACCCAAGTTCCCTCGTGCCGTCGCTGGGCGACCCGCTTTTTTCTCCCGCCGCCGCGCGGAGCCCGACCGCACGGATGGAAGCCGCACATTTCGATTGGAGCGTCGTGATTGACGTCGGCGGCGACCACTGAGATCTGTTGATCCATTATGGCTGTAGCTTGTGTTCATACTTGTTGTATGCTGTGGATTGTTTTTCCCTCTCTGGTGACTGTTTGGAGTTCGGCTTCTTGGCCGCTGCGGTGAGTGACTGGAGGCCGCACTTTCATTCAGCGGTGCGGTGAGATGGGCGTGGATATCCGCCGCCGGTCCCTCGCCCCGCACACCGTACTCCAGCACCCACAGAAACTCTTCAAAGTTAATCCAACCAGTGCGTTCCATATCAATACTGCGGCCAACACACTCATCAAAGTTCGCCTCCACGTGAAATGATCGCAACATGCGCTTGAGATCCACAAGTCGTACGGCTCCGCTGCCGTTGTGGCCACCGCCGAGTTCTGCGAAGGACTGTCGCTCCAACAAAAATCCACGCGTAGAGGGAGTAGGTGTGTTTGGTGGTGGGAGTGGGTGTGATGCTGGAGAGGCAGATGAGGTTGTGGGTTTTGTTGGTCGGGGAGAACTTGCATCTCGCTCTTGGGCAAATACCGGCGCTAACGCCTTCCGTGCATCACACCAGTTAATACGACGAACTCTTCTTCGCTCAGAAGACCCATCTTTCTGCGCACTACGATTGCTAGACGGACGGTTAGAATTTTTTCCTTTTTCAGTACTGGCTACTGTTGCTTTTGCTGTTGCTGGTGTGTTGGAGGTACTATTGGTCGCTGCTAAGGATGAGGATATTGTATTGGTGTTTTTACCTCCATTCACGGGAATAGATGTATCTGTTGGTGTTGCTCGTGGCGCAAATAATTCACCACGTGTAGTTTTTAACCATGTGGCAAAGTAATTTACTTCCTCTTCTGTAAGAACGCGTTGATGTTTTCCTAAAGTTTTATCGGATTCTGCTGTTCCTTCTGTAGTAGAAAAACTACTTCCAACCAGTTGATCCCTAGAGATACATAAAAATTTCTCTAGTTGCTGCAACCAAGTCTCACAATCTGCAAGACTATCACTGGCTCCCAATTCTTGCAAAAGAATAAGAAGACAAGCAGGTCTATCAATGGACTGAACATATTTTTTATATGCGGCATTTACAAGTGCTCCTTCATCTTCACTAAGTGGTTGAACCGTACAACGTGTAGCACTCTGACGTCTATATTCTTCATTAAAACTCGAACTTATATCTGAACACAAGATAGAAGATCGTGGAGATGGAGTGGATAATCTTTGACAGTTCTGACCATATTGACTTTGCCGTCTATCATATGTCGAACACGTACTAGTACTAATGCTACTACTCCTTTCACTCATCTGTCGTCTTGGTGGTCGTCCTTTACTGTCTCCTCCCATTGGTGGCGATGGGGTGATGAGTTGGGGCTCCTCCCTTTTCCCTCGTTGAGTGTCGGAGGTTGGGGAGGGGTTGAAAGACTGCGAGACACTCGTCAGACTGAGACTCGCGGCGTTTGTGTCCTCCGCCTGCTCAGCGGCACCGCGTGTGAGTGGGGCGAAGCGCAAATACGGGCGTCTTGTGCGTGCGGCCGAAGACCCGCGGGGGGTTAATCGGGGCGGTGTAGTTGCGACATACATGCCCCTACACCAATTCCCTTTTGTTTGTTTATTTGTTTTTTTCCCTCTTTCCTTCTTTGTTTTTGTTTTTTGTTTTTTTCCTTCTTTCCTTCTTTCTTTCTTTTTTATTTTAGTTTTTTTGTTTTATTTGTTTTTTATTTGTTTTTTTTTCTTCTTCTTTATGTATGTATGTACGTGTTTGGCGAGGGGGAAAGAAAGAGAGAAAGGCTCTTTCGCTGTTGTTTGTTTGTTTGTTTTCCCAAATTGAGAAAGGAAAAAATGAAAAAGAAAAGGAGAGAAAAAAAAAAAATAGGTTACTTTATCAACAATACCCACAGGTATTCTTACTGTTATTATTTTTATTATTAACATGTGTTTAAATGTAAGATAAATAGTCCGCAAGAAGAACAATGGTAAACGAAAAGAAGAAAAAAAAAACATGATAATAATAAAATTAATCATCATCATCATCGCACACAAAGAAAGAAATAAAAAAAAAAAAACAGAGTGATTACATTGATGATGTGCCAATAATATATATATATATAAACTGCTAACAAAGAGCGATAAAGAATAATAATAATAATAATAATAATAATAATAATAAAAAGACACGCACAACAAAAGGTTCCATGCATCCATAGTAGTAGCAGCCATAGAGGAGCACCATCATCATACACACTCCACGAAATCCAAGCAAAATCCCAAGAGGAAAGAATGAAAGAATTAAAGATAACAACAGGTAAAAGTAAAAAAAAAAAAAAAAAATGCAAAATCATCAACAAGAACAATAAGCTGATATTACCCATAACAGATAAGAATAATTCTTCTTTTTTTTTTTTCTTTTCCTTTCTTGTTATCTTTCAAGTTCAAATTTTGGTATTGAGTGTTTTCTTTTTCTTTCTTTTTCTTTCTTTTTCTTTCCTTTCATTTTCTTTGTACATCATAACCATGCAAACTGCTGGAAATATCATAAAAAAAAAAAAGAGATTGAAATAAAGACATTGTCTCCAATTCCATATATATATATATATATATATATAAATATATATATATTTATTTATTTAACAAAAATGCAATATATAAGTATAATAAATTGTATATATTTGCATTTCCTATTGGTTGCTGCTATCATACAACAGCGACGAGGTACAAAAAAAAAAAAAAAAGCAAATAAAAGGTGCAATAATAAACAAAAAAGGAAAAACAAAAGGATCCAGAAACACACCAATACTGTTACCTCCTTTTTTTTTCTTTTTTTTTTCTTTTTACATTATTTCACTACACTCAAGTTGTACACACATAATAGGAAAAATGGACGAGGGAAAAGAAAAGATTCAGTGACAACTGTAGTAGTCACTAACCTGGTGGTACTTGATCACACACACCCTTCCCTCTGGGTGAACATACCACAGAGCATTGGAGGAAAACAAAACAAAAAAACAGCAACGAAGGAGTGAAAATAAAAATACGTACAAATGTGGGGGAAGAAACATTTAAATAATAATAATAATAATAATAATAATAAACAATTATAATAATAATAATAAAAAGAGACGCAAACATATTACCTTTTTTTACCACATCTTACTTTCATACTTGTAAGACTTATACGCATCTGTGGAGATACCCAAACCAACTCCATCTGTTCCCTTCATATACATTGAACGGTAGTTGTCAGCATTGCGGTAGTCAATGCCTTCACCCACCCGCATTTCTTGTTCGTGTCGTTCGGCCACAGTACGACGAAGTGTATCCTCTGCGTTCAGTTTACCCCGAAACTTCGAGAGAAGTGCATTTTTGTAAGCGACGCCGGTTTGTCGATCTGCTTCTTCAATACGGGCATTAAATGCACGCATGGCTGTTCGATCTTCATATGTAATAGTATCTTTTGCCCAGAGATGAATATTCCGTTGGACTTCCTCCTCCAGTGTGGGTGGTTTCTCACCGCCGGACTTTGTAGAGGCAGTCATATTCATTCCACTCATAGTGGAGTTGGCAGACCAATCGGATGGATTTCCTTTACGAAGTGGCATTTCCCCTTCTTCATCTTCTTCTTCTTCATATTCTTCTCCTTCTTGTTCTTGTTGTTGTTTCCTCTTCTTTCGTTCTTTTTCTTGTTCATCTAGTGAGCGTAGAAAGATCTCACGCTCCACCAGACGAAGTGACTCCGTTGCCGCCTCACAGTTGCTATTCAACTCCAACGCCTTTTGATAAGCCGTTTTCGCTTCTTCATACTTTTTACGGGCAAACTGCGCATCCCCAATGCGGAGATGAGCCTTATACCAACCAGCATCTAGTTCAACAGCCCTCTCCGCATCTTTTAACGCCAGTGAGGGGCCGGCAAACATGGGAGACTTTAAGTAGGCGGCACTTCTATTACTGCGAAGAATAGCTGAATCCTCACCTTTTTCAATGGCTTCACTGTAGTATCGTATAGCGCTGAGATGACAGCCGTGGGCAAAACAGGCGTTGCCAATAGATTTCCAATCCTCTGCAGTGGCAGTGGCACCATTATTCAAACTCTCCACTCGGGCAAGGATCTCTGGTGGCAATGGGGGTTCTTTCGCACTGGGCATTGTCAATAGAGCAGAGAGCTAATAATAATAATAATAATAATAATAATAATAATATAATATAATATAATATAGTATATATATATATATCAATATATCTTTTCTTGTTGGCTCCTCTACCCTCTCTTCTTACCTATGTTTATTTACGTTAATACGTTTATATGTGGGTGTGGGTTTTTTTTTTCCTCTTTTTCTTACCAAATAGAGCTAGAAAAAAAAAAGTAAAAGGAATGTAGATTAAGAAGAAGAAAGAAAAAGAAATAAATAAGACATCATTCCTTCAATCAAATGAAAAAGACATGCTCTTTTAGTTATGGGACATTTTCTTCTTTTTTTTTTCTTCTTTTACGATTATTGAATTGTGATCATACCGTTCCAGAGTTCTTTTTCCCCCACAAAAATGTATTCGCATTACATTACCACAGAAAATCCATGTCAATACCAGCAACAAGAAAAAAAAAAAAAAGAGAAACAAAAAGAAAGTCTACAGGAACATGTCCCTATGAAGGAAGAACACAATAAAAAAAAAAAACAATTTTTTCTTTTAGTCACTGATAACCGTCACGTCATCAACGGAGGCAAGATCGCTATTGCTAATACTATTGATATCTTTCATTTGATTATCCACCACTGTGGAAGTTTTCTTCTCACTATTCAAAAGTGTCTGCACCTTTTCTGCCAAAAAAGTAGCATCCACGGTTGAGCTTGTGACTCCACCAATGTGAGAATCACTATTATTAAAAAAGAAAAAAACCTCACGTTTTTCTTTCTCTCCTGCTGTTCCTTTTCCACCTCCGCGGATAAAGTTAACAATACATTCTGCCCATTCCAACAGTCGATCGGGTCCGTAATCTCCAACATGTAAACCAGTAGCCCCATGCATACGAACATACATAAAGGGTACACCTGTATCAATATGAATAGATCCAGTGGGATCATTGTGGTGATGTGCCACAACTAATGCCCATCCAACACAACGTAAGAGATTATGTATCTCTTCACAATACCATGAACGGTGACGAAACTCCACAGCAATACGAATAGTTTTCGGAATACGGGACGCAATACCTTTAATGCGATTTATATTCTCAGAGTTTTTATGAAATTGTGGAGGAAGTTGAAGAAGTACTGGTCCAAGGTGATCTTCTAGAAGGGGACATCGTTTTCCAAAGAAATCAATAATGTGTTCTTCTACCTCTTTATCAATAGCAAGCATACGAGTATGTGTTAAGAATTGATTTGCTTTAATAGTGTAGATAAAATGTTGACGCTGTGAATCCGTTTTCACTTCATTCATAGGTGATGATTTATTCTCATTACTTTTCATATTAACAATATCATCTTTTTCTTTGACCTGTAATGTTACTTTCTTACCTTCTGTGGAAATGGATTGTGAATGGCCACTCATTTCTGATGAATGTGGTACACACATCTCTTTCCACATTCTCCACATTCCCTCATCGCTGATATTATGATATGTATAGCAGTGCTCCAGACAATGGAATTTCTTACTGTACTGTGCAAGAAGTGTTGGCATTCGCCGATCTTTCCCTGGTACACCGTTAAGAGAACTAATACCGATATGAATATTTGAATACCCCGCGATATGTGCAGTGCGTGGAGGATGAAAAAGATCTCCCCATCCATAATGTGCACGAGAGGAACCGTATGGTGAGTTCACCACTACATTCCCATTACTACCACGCTTCTCCACACGCTGCAGTACTCCAGCTACTGTAATAGCAGCAGCATTACTACTACTACTACTATTATTATTACTATTACTATTACTAGTACTACTATGAGTATCCGTATTAGTATGAATAGTATGGTCACTCCCACAAACGTCAAGAGGAAGAGGAGCAGATGATGAATGATGCGCTGCGGGTGATAATGGTGAATCTATTCTCCCCCGCTTCATCAGTAATGAGCCCCTATATAAATATAAATATATACTTATATGTAATTTATATGTTAATAGGAATATGTACGTAGAAGTGTCCTTTTTTGTTGTAAAGATTGAGAGAAAATAAAATAAAATAAACAGATGCAGATCAAGGGGAGAAACATACACTCACAAAAAGCACACGTACACAAACAAAAAGGATATAAACCAACATCCTTTCCAACACAGAAAATAAGCGTCTATGCAAGAGGGAAAAACAAGGTCATAGGAAAAATACAAAGAGTTGGACTGATACTCCCTCCCCTCTCCCTTTCATTCCCATTCCGCATTTTCCCTTGTCAAGACACTTCTTCCCCTTCCCTTTCCTTCTTGAGAACACCAGGAAGAAAAGAAGGGAAAAAAAAATTTATTACAAATATGCAACAACAAACAAACAACAAAAGAAGAAAAAAAAAAAAAAAAACACGATTTATCATGGAAGAATGTAATGCCATGTAAAAATAAAAAAAAAACAAAAAAAACTGTGATTTATACTTTTTTTCAACATGCTGCTTTGCACAACACTTCCAACAGCATAGCAGCAGTACTGCGTTCCCGCCAATTCAATCGCAATGCCCCTTCTACAAACTCCTGTTGCCATTTGGGAGGCCGTGGTGTGTGCGGTAGCTGCGGCACACAAAGAGGTCCTAATGGTCTGCCATCAACAGTCGCAAACACTGCATTAGAGACACCACTACCATTACTACCATTACTATTACTTTCATCAACCTTTTCGCGTTTTACAATGTTATTACGCACACTTGTCACTGGTAAATGCATTTGTGCCATTTCAATAGCAAGAATACCACATGACCAAACATCTGCCGCGAAAGAAAATGGCATCTCTGCTTCAATTTCTGGGGCTACATAAGGTGGAGTTCCGATACGTGGAGAGGCTTTATGTATTTGTGTGTGAGAATTGACCATAACAGCATCTGCAAAATCAGCAAGTTTTGCCCGAACATCACACAAGTGACATATAGTTCCAAGAGAATGACAAGTATTACATCTTATCACTACTAAAAGAACATTTTCTGCCTTTATATCTCGATGTACGTAACCTCGAGTATGAACTTCTTTTAATGCAGATAAAACACAGAAAAGAATTTCCTTTTGCTGTGATAAACTCATACGTTTTTCACGAATAATTAAATGATTCATAAAACTCAATAAATTAGTAGGAAAGTATTCCATTACCACTCCACCACTCCATCCGAGACAACGTACAACATGAGATGTGGATCTAAATTTCCGTAAAATTTCATATTCACGAATAAGGCTATCCAAATCACTATTACGTCGTGGAACTTTAACTACACAAGTAAGACCACCTCCTAATAAACCACGTCGTACTACCGCCGTGGCACCTCTTCCACATTCTTCTAAAAGTTGAATTTTAGCAGCAGAACGGTATAAAATCATATAATGTGAACCAGACCAACTTGCATTTAAATCAACTGGTGGTGCTTTATACGCAGGTACTGGCCACATTTGCAATTTATGTGGACTTAGTGTTGTGTCCACAAGTAAATAGCGTCTCCCTTCTAGTGGGACGATATTCCAAGAATGACGTTCCGCCTCCTCATCTGATGCCCCCTGGTGTTCTCCCCGCAGTAAATAACACGGCATCTGCACAACATCACATAAATACTTGAAAAGTAATGCCCGATGTCTGCAAACCCCATGGTGAATATCACCAAGACGGACCACATTGGCACTTTCCTCACCCTGCGATTCCCCACGGCGCCGTTTCTTCTCATCCCCCGCCCGCCGTTGACGGCGTAGTTCTGTGAGTTTATCCTCCGCATCCACATTATTCCCATCCCCACCAAAGGCACTCACGACAAGCCACACCAGTGTTTGTACTCGCACGACGGTGTCGACAATGCCGAGCAGCGCCCGACGCGCCAGTGCGGCGATCGACTGCAGCCGCCCGTCCTGCGGGTCCACGACAATAACTTCCCGCTCGACCAGCGGCAGTTCATCGTAGCGGGCGGCCTCCGTGAAGAGTTGATTGCTGCGGCCGGGGTCCGTGAGTCCGCCGGCGATGCTGTCCTGCGGCCCAAGCACGTCGGTGGCCCAAAACTTCTGCGAGAGAACATCACGCGGCCCCGTCGGAGTTGTGCGGGCGGCGGCAGCGGCGGCGGTTGAAAGTCCAGCGCGGCCGCGGCGAATAAAAACGGGCTTCGACGCCAATTGAGTCTCGCGGGTGCCCAACACCGCACGCAATACAAATGTCAATTCACACACCGTATCATCCATCTTGAAGGTTTTGATCTGCGCTAGAAAGGAAAGCACAACTCTCGAACGCAGATTATCAAGTGTGATGGACGGTAGTTCACTGACACTTTCTTTTTGTATGTCCAATACAAGATGTGTAACATCTCGTTCATCTTCATCATAAACAGATAAGGAAATATCAGCTTCTGCCAAGATCCAAAAACACCAAAGTTGAATAGTAAATGAAGATTTTTGATACATTAATGGAGGTATTGCGTTACGTGGTAATACTGTTGAATCATGCAAAAATTGAAGAGATATTTCTGGTTGAAAAAAGTAACATGGATCAGTTCCAATAATACTCCAAGATCCAATTTGAGTATTACAAAGTTCATCTCCATTTACGTGTTTAACACATGCAACTTCTGTTCCTATCCCTTCATGTAAAGTTCGTTGAGGGGAATCATTACATAAAGGTATTAATATACCATCACCACTATTCCTACCATAATGACTATTACTATTATTTTCACCACCAGAATTTTCAGTTTTGCTTCTTACAGCATTATTCTGTACCAAAATGTATTGTTGATGATCTCCTTCTCCTCCAAATGTATTATTTTCAGTAGTAAAAAAAGCTTCCATAACTAGGTAACTCATAGGATAAAGGGCGAAATGAACAGATCGACCAACCCAATCTTTTTCTTCGTCTTCAGTGAAAAAAAATGATGTGGTATCTGTAGATGATAAAGAAGAAGGTGGAGTACATTCAACAGGTAAAATTCTACCTGTTGAAAACATATCCCGTGTTGCCACTGCTTCATAAGGAAGAAATGAACAAAAAATGAAAACAAAACGACTTGAAACACGTGTAATAATACCTGGTAACATACTCTTAGATGTCATAGAATTAGCTTCATGCATATGTACGAGTCTTGCAAGTGGTATTTGCGAATTTCCATTAACAAAAAATGTATCCATCTCATCAACAGGGTCAATAGTAACACATCGACCGACAGGTGAAGAATTAAGCAAGTACCCAACGTAGTTTAATCTAGATTGTCTTTTCTGGCCTTCTTCCTGTTTCTGCTGCTGTTGCTGATTATTATTATTATTATTATTATTATTATTATTATTATTATTATTATTATTATTATTATTTTGATTTTCATCGCCTGTGTACTCAGAGGTAGAGTTTGTAGTCTCAGATTGCCCTTTACTCGGGGAAAAGAAAACACGATAACGCCTGCAAGGAGCATCAATGGCCTCTACGATACCCTCTTCCTTCTCGCTATTATACTCTAGCACGACTGCGTCAAGCATCAAGCATTCCCTTTTACACTGCTAAACACAGGGAACCAGAAAATATAAGAATAAGGAAAAAAAAAAGAAAAAAAAAAAAAACACGGCACAAAAAAGAGGAGCAGCAATAAATATAAAAATGCCAGAAATAAACAAACAAAGGAGACATTCTTTTCGTTCGCACTCCTTTTTTTCAATTTTCTTATCTTTCTTTTTTTTTTCTTTTTCTCAGTCTACACAATGTTGAAACTCTTTCTGCAGACAATTTCTGTAAATGGAGACACCTCTTCTTTATCCTTTCTTTCCTTTTATAATAGCCCGAGGTCGAGCCGGTACATTCACATCCGCATCTGTGCCGTGTGTATACTCCGCCATGTGTTCAGCACCTGTGCGAAAACACTTCTCACCGTACGGGCAAACCGGTTTTGTTTTCACAACAGAGACATCGTATTCAATCGTCGCATCCGATTCGGCACCATCCTTGTCATTCTCTTCACTCTTCTCACGAGTTCTTTTAGTCGTTCGCGTCGTCTTCTTTTTCGTTTCTGCTCCTTCTTCCACTTTAGTTGCTGCTGTAGTGGATGTCTTCTTTGTTGTTGTTGTAGTTTTTTCGGATTTTCCCTTCTTTGCTGGTGAGGCTCCACCTTTTGGGAGGAGTTCCGCTGCGATTGGTGAGTTGGCGACGTCCCCCACGCGTCCCTTCACGTTTGATTGATCCACCAACTCCCCACGCTTCATGCTATTCACCAGCGCCTTGTCGGCTGGCGCCAAATCGTCAAATCCCTCAATGTTGTCGAGATCACCCGCGGCGGTGGCGTTCTGCAGTTGTCGCTGCGTGAAACAGCAGAGATGCCGCCACTTGTAAGAAATCGTTCCCTCTTCATTCTCTGCGCTGTTGGGGTGCGAGTCGGACTGCCCGCGTGCGGGAAAGACGACGGCGGTGCCGATGCGGACCTCGTGGCGGGCGATGGGTTGACCGCAGGCCGGCAGAGAACAGCGGGCGCGGCCCGACTTGGCGTACTCTACTCGCAGTTGTGGCATTAACGACTGCTGATGGGTTCCCTTTTTTTTTTTGTTGGTGTTTATCTGTTTAGTGTGTTCTGAGCAGACAAGAAAAGAATATATGTATATCTATAAATCTCTCCCAAACACAAACACACACTACGGAGTGCGTGCTATAATCATGGAGAAGGTAAATATATATATATATATATATATATGAGGAAGGAAGATGATTGGCAAGAGTAGTGAGAATGATAATAAAGAAAAGAAAGAAGAGGAAATGAATAAGAGTAGAGAAAGATAATGGAAGTAAAAGGAAAATTACGTGGGCTCGGGGTGAAACAAAATAGGTATAAAGAAATTTTAATAACAATAATAATAATAATAATAATAATAATAATAATAATAATAATAATAATAATAATAATAATATTGATAATAGTAACAAAAACATGCTCAGGAAACAAGGTGAAATGCGGATTGCCCTTGTGTGAATACATACGGGTCACTTAGAATTGCATGTAAAACCCAGACACATGTAAATAGATATAAAAAAAAAAAAGAAAACAAAAAAAAAAAAGAAAGCACGCATGAATACACTAGCAGATAGATGGAAAAAAAAAACGAAAAAACAGGAAAATTGGCAAGAACAATAACAGATAACATAAATACTAATCCTTCATGGCAACAAAAATGATAATGACACGAAAAAAAAAGAAATACTAACAAGTTGGGGTCTTCTAGGCCTACACATGGTCAATACGTACAAAAGTTAAATGTACATAAATACATTTGCAAAGGCACGGATACAAATCATCAGATAAATATAAATATATATAGAGAGAGAAAGACCGTCTATAACCCTTAGACCATACAAACAGTCAAACAAACAAAGCAACAAAGAAAAAGGAAAGCGAAAAAAAAAAGAAATGAAACGACAATAAAGGAAAGAGAGCGAACAGAGCATAAGAAATTTCCATGTAAAACAAGAAAGGATTACAAGAAAAAGAAAAAGCTCTGGTACAATCTCCATAAAAAGAGAGTAACCGGGTTAAAAACGAAAAAAAAAAAACACGTAAAATAAAAAAATAAAAATAAAAGAGAACAACATGAATACACTTTGTGCGCCTCGAAAATTTATTCTTTTTCTTTTTTTTTTTTTTTTACGCATTCCACAAATAAATTCTCACTAATTGACAGAGTGAGAACATTTTCCCGCACGCATGACAATAACACCTCAATTCTTTATTCCACCATGAATACAAAATAAAGAGGGTTTGCTGGCGTCAAGAGAAAAATAATAATAAAGGAAGACACTCTCAATAATAATAATAATAATAATAATAATAATAATAATAATAACAAAAAGGACCAAAAACAAAAGAAAAAAGAAAAAAGAAAAAGCCCAATTTCCCCAGTTATATACAGTGTACCTTAACCATCGAAACTATTCGTTTTCTTCAAACTTCTCTTAAAGAAAGAGATAAGCAGTTCTGTTTCTGTTGATGCCTATTATAGTCTTCTATTCTCATATTACTATAGTTCCTCCGTTGACTTACTCCATTCCTTCTGTGGATTCCTTCTCTTTTTTTTTTTTCCTTACTATCTTCCGATTTTACTTCTTCTCATAGTTGTTTGCCACTTTCTTATCACCTCTTACTCAAAAAGGTAAGTACTCATTCATTTCATCAAGAAATAAATAAATAAATAAATAAATCTATCAATCGAAAGCATTTCTCTTTCCACTCTTTTCTCTATTTCCACACACACACAGACACACACTCTCTCTCTCTCTCAGTCCAAATGTGGAGTTCAGGTCCTTAAAAGTCTCTCGGTGGAACAGGCAAAGGAGCTGCAGCCGTGGAATCATCCACATTCAATCCCTCAAATTGAACCAACTCGGGTTTCCCATCAGCGTGTAAAATAAGAATAGCGCCTTTATTACCCATTCCACAGTAATTCGGCGCGGAGAAAATTGTTAAAACTCGCCGCTGATGTTGCCATTGATATCCCTCATGCACACACTGATGCGCACGAACCATAAAACTCAATTTGTTTTCTTGCAAAAACTGCAGAGTAACATCCTCTCCAAAGTCATGTCCACATCCACGGGAACTAAACAGAAAACCGGTAGGAGCAGTGGCATTCGGAATAGGCTCATTGTAATTAAACTCTTCCTGTCGACGCACAATGTCCTCTCTCATTCGTTTTGGTGCCAGTGATGGCGATGCGGATGCCGTAATAACATCATTACCGCCAGCACCAACACCATTATTACCATTACTGGTACCATTAGCAGCAGCAACGGTAGCACGATTTACATCATTCTTATTATTATTATTATTATTATTATTATTATTATTATTATTATTATTATTATTATTATTATCGCCATTCATCTTGCTACGACTGTCATCGTTCTCGTTGGTAGTATTATTATTACTATCATTACCATTACTACTACTACTACTACTACTACTACTACTACCATTACCATCAGGAGGATGATGATTGTTGCTATTATTATTATCATCCTTTTCTTCTTCTTCTCTTTTTTTCTCTTGTGCAGTCTCCGCATTGCTGTTATCCTGTGGAATGATGGGATCACCCCAGGTGAGATCAGCGAGTGGGCCATCCACGATGGGACGAAAGCGGTTAATGACGAGAAGGGAATCGAGACTGTTCGCCACGAAGGGCGAGAGGCCGCCGTGCATGGCGCACACCGACACCCGCCCGCCGCCCGCCGCCCACCCGCGCAGCACCGCGCAGAGCGGCAGCGCCTCAAACGCCTCATTCGCCACCACCCACAGCGGGTGATCCGGCCGCTCCCAGAAAATATCATCGGAACTACTGCTGTCCTCATCTACATTATTCTCATTATTATTATTATTATTATTTTCAGTATTATTATTATTATTATTATTATTATTATTATTATCGCCGCTAGGGTTGTTATTAGTGTTATTTTCCGTCTCGCTAGGGAGTGGGTAGTGCTCAATACACTCATTTAGAAAACCATATCGACGGTTTGTCTCCCCGTTTTCATGATTGCCACGAAGGAGAAAGACGTGTTCTGGTGCCAGTAGCTTTGCAGCGAAAAGAAGTACCAAACAGTGAAGACTCTGTGGACCACGATCCACATAATCTCCAAGAAATAAATAATCTCTCTTTCCATCTCTTTCCACATTATCGGATGTATTACCTTCTTTACTATCACCTCCATTGTTTGTGTTATCTCCAACATTTAATTGACCTCCAAGAGCCAAAATGTTTCCAAGCAAATCCCGCCATTGTCCATGTATATCACCCACCACAACACATGGAAGAGATAAGAGAAGAACATTTGTTTCCTTTTTAAGCACTTCAGTAGTCCTACGAAATAATTCACATATCTCTTCTAGTGAGGGAAGTTTATTACTCGTAATTAAGTCGTGGTAAATTTGAGCCACATCCAAAGTTATTGCTGTTGTTGTTGTTGTTGTTGTTGTTGTTGTATCCACACCATTAGAAACTTCTGGGGTTGTTGTTGTGGTGGCCCCATTGTTAACAGGATTGGACTCTGTTATCATTCTGTCTGTGCGAAACCATTTTAGATATTCAGATCCCTGTTCAAATTCCTCATTTTCCAACTCTTGTTCAAGAACTAAACAAAAACGGTGAATGGCAAGTGCAAGTCGTGCCCGTACGGATGGTGTTTCTTGTAGGATTCTCTGTACAATGGGTGTTTTACTAATAGTGGCATCGACATCACTTTTAAGAAAATTGCGTCGCATCATATATAAAGCGACAGCATCTACTTTCGCTACGAAACGTCTTTTTGATGAGATGTCTCCACAAGCTTTTACTACTTCACGAAACTCAGAGCTTAAATTGATAATATCACTAAATGGGAGAACTGCAATTTCTTCCAGAGAATCAGCCGGTATTTCCTTGTTAGAATCCGTAGGAGTTTTAATTCCTACTTCTGTTGGCAGCAATCTTTTATTATCCATTGGCATTCTTGGTTTTCTCTCACCCTTTTCTCCCTTCTTTAACTTTACGCCATCGGCCTTTTCTTTGGATTTCCGTCCTTTTTTACCCCAATTGAATAAGAAGCTCATTACCACTAGGGAGGATTTTTATTTGATGTATGTATATATGTATATATATACAGAGTAAACTTTTCCTTTCCTTATTTTTCTTTTTTGATTTTTCCTCTCTTTTTCTTTCTTTCTACTCGCTTTTCTTTTTTTTCTTTTTTCTTCTTTTGTATATATATATATATATATATATATATATAT